TAGGGTTGGGCCTATCGGCATCAGAACGCATCCGAGACCTGCGATTCACCTGGAATGAGAGATCTCGGGGGTCGGGTCGGCATGGCCTCCGGGTCGTCCGAATGAGGGCGCCATGTTCATCGCCATGCTGATGAAGTCGAACTGTCCGCGCCTGCGACCTGACTCAGAGCCGCTCCTATCGGAGCGAACTCTTTGTGCCTGCTCGTCATCAGTGGCCTGACGGAAAATACGATCGTCTCCATCGTCGGTGTACCTGCCACGGCTCCTGGGTGTGTCCCTACCGGGATCTTCACCCCTGCGGTCCTGACCTGTCGAACCTGCTTCGAAATCCTCGTAGTCATAGTCCGGTAGGTCCTCACCTGAGCGGAGGCCCCCTAGGATGGCCTCCTCATCCACGACACTCCTTCCTGTGTGATCGTGGGGTCGACATAGAGCTTGTAGTTGATGGTCTCAAGCGCGTAGGAAAGTCCTACGGCTGATAACCTGTGATTCGGGCACGAGCCTGTGCCCAGGCAATGGGTAAGTTGGGGTAAACAAGCCACAAAAGAAAGGTTCCCCAAAAGCAAACCAATCCCCGGTCCCAAAGATCAGGGTTTCCCACACACCAGAGAACAACAACCAAAAGGGAAAAACCAAAACACGTAAACAAGTACCCGCAACCTTGATCGACGATGAACCGCACGGGCGGACCCCACCAATCTGCCCCGGGCCGATGTCTCTTTCTCCACCGACACGAAGGTGATCGACGCGGGGACCCGGCGACGCTCATCCGAGGCGCGACGGACCCGCAAACTTGAGCCAAACACCACCGGTCAGTCACTATCGCGACATCCCTGGTGATGGTTTAAGACATGGCTAATCACAGTTCCTATCAAGCACTGTTGGGTTTAGGCCATTCCAGTAAACAAAATGGAGTCCTGTACATTTTCACACGCGTGTTTCTTTTTCACATGGTGGACACCGCCGCAAAAAATGCACATATGTATGGGTGGCCGCTGCTTGTTTTTGCTCCAAAGCATCTCCGAGACCATCGAGAATGTGTATCTATGAACATGTAAAGTACATGTGTATATATATATATATGTGCAATCTATATGTATATTATGCATATATATATATATATATATTTATATATATATATATACATTACATGTACACGTGTGTATATCAAAACATATTGATGTGGTGTTATTATTGTTGATTTATGATTGTTTTGTGTTTCTTTCAGTATCCTTCCGCCGACAACAGACGGCGTGTTGGACACCAAAAAATGCTCCTTACCTCTTTACTTATCCCCAGCTTCACTAAATCTGTTCATTGCGCGGGCTTGCGCAACTCAGTTTGTTAAAAACATTGGGGTGTTCGATTCCCCCCGGGTGCGCTATCGCATCCTTAGCAGCTCCAGCGGCACATCGCCAGCATCACCTGCATCATCCGCATCAGCGCCTGCCAAGGATGCGGATGATGCAAGTGATGCTGGGGATGTTGCCCAATGCTGGTGAAAAGAATCTCAACAGCGAAAGGGGGGGAAAGATCTCAGGGAGGAAAGGGAGAAGATCTGGGGAAAAAATGCCTTAAGGGGGAAAGGGGGGAAAAGATCTTTGGGAGGAAAAGGGAAATCTTTCTTGGGGGGGGGGGACAGGATCTCAAACGGGAAAGGGGGAAAAAAACTTCGGGAAGAGAAGGGTGGAGATCTTGGGGGGAAAGGCCTTAGAGGGGAAACGGGGGAAAGGATCTTAAGCGGGAAAGGGGGGAAAAGATCTTAGGGAGGCAAAGGGAGACGAACTCAGGGTGCGAAAAGGCCTTAGGGGGGACAGGGGGGAAAGGATCTCAATAAAGAAAGGTGGGAAAAGCTCTTAGGGAGGAAAAGGGAGAAGATCTCAGGGGGGAAAAGGCCTTAGGGGGGAAAGGGGGGAAAGGATCTCAACAGGGAATGAGGGGAAAACAAAAGGAGGTAAAAGGATATCATCTCAGGGGGGGGAAAAGGCCTTGGGGGGGACAGGGGGGGAAAGGACCGAAAAGCGAGAAGATCTCGGGGGGGAAAAGGCCTTAAGATCTCAGGGGGGGAAAGGCCTTAGGGGGGAAAGGGGGAAGGGATCTCAACAGGGAAAGGGGGCAAAGGATCTTAGGGAGGAAAAGGGAGAAGATCTGAAAAGGCCTTAGGGGGAAAAGGGGGAAAGGAGCTCAACAGGGAAAGGTGGGAGAAGATCCTAGGGAGGAAAAGGGAGAAGATCTCGGGGGGAAAGGGGGAAAGGATCTCAACCAAGGGAAAAGATCTTGGGGAGGACAAGGGAGAAGATCTCAGGGGGGGAAAGGCCTTAGGGGGGAAAGGGGGGAAAGGATCTCAACAGGGAAAGGGGGCAAAGGATCTTAGGGAGGAAAAGGAGAAGATCTTGGGGGGGAAAACGCCTTAGGGGGGAAAGGGCGGGAAAGGATCTCAATCAACAGGGAAAGGTGGCAAAAGATCTTAGGGCAGGAAAAGGGAGAAGATCTCAGGGAAGGAAAGGCCTTAGGGGGGAAAGGGGGGAAAGGATCTGAGCAGGGAAAGGGGGGGGAAAGATCTTAGGGAGGAAATGGAGAAGATCTGGGGGCAAAGGCCTTAGGGGGGGAAAGGGGAGAAATGATCTCAACAGGGAAAGGGGGGAAACAATCTTAGGAAGGAAAGGGGGGGGGGGGGGAAGATCTTAGGGAGGAAAGGGAGAAGATCTGGGAGAAAAGGACTTAGGGGGGAAAGCCCAACAGGGAAAGGGTGGAAAAGATCTTAGGAAGGAAAAGGGAGAAGCTCTCAGGGGGGGGAAAGGCCTTGGGAGGGAAAGGGGGGAAAGGATCTCAACAGGGAAAGGGTGGGAAAGATGTTAGGGAGGAAAGGGGGGGGGAAGATCCTAGGGAGGAAAAGGAGAAGATCTGGGAGAAAAGGACTTAGGGGGGAAAGCCCAACAAGGAAAGGGGGGAAAAGATCTTAGGAAGGAAAAGGGCGAAGCTCTCAGGGGGGGGAAAGGCCTTAGGGGGGAAATGGGGAAAAGGATCTCAGCAGGGAAAGGGGGGGGGCACAGATCTTAGGGAGGAAAGGGAGAAGATCTCGGGACAAAGGCCTTAGGGAAAAAAGAGGAGAAATGATCTCAACAGGGAAAGGGGTGGAACAGATCTTAGGGAGGAAAGGGAGAAGATCTGGGGGAAAAAAGGCCAACAGGGAAAGGGGGGAAAGATCTAAGGAAGGCAAAGGGAGAAGCTCTCAGGGAAAGGGTGGGAAGGATCTCAACAGGGAAAGGGGGGAAACAATCTTAGGAAGGAAAAGGGAGAAGATCTGGAAAGGCCTTAAAGGGAAGGGGGGAAAGGATCTCAACGGGGAAAGGGGGCAAAGGATCTTAAGGAGGAATAGGGAGAAGATCTCAGCGGGGGGAAAGGCCTTAGGAGGGAAAGGAGGGAAAGGATCTCAACAGGGAAAGGGGGGGAAAGATCTCAGTGAGGAAAGGGAAAAGATCCCAGGCAGGGAAAAGGCCTTAGGGGGGAAAGGGGGAAAGGATCTCAACAGGGGGGCAAAGGATCTTAGGGAGGAAAAGGGAGATCTGAAAAGGCCTTAGGGGGAAAAGGGGGAAAGGAGCTCAACAGGGAAAGGTGGGAGAAGATCCTAGGGAGGAAAAGGGAGAAGATCTCGGGGGGAAAGGGGGAAAGGATCTCAACCAAGGGAAAAGATCTTGGGGAGGACAAGGGAGAAGATCTCAGGGGGGGAAAGGCCTTAGGGGGAAAGGGGGGAAAGGATCTCAACAGGGAAAGGGGGCAAAGGATCTTAGGGAGGAAAAGGGAGAAGATCTTGGGGGGGAAAACGCCTTAGGGGGGAAAGGGCGGGAAAGGATCTCAACAAGGAAAGGGGGGAAAAGATCTTAGGAAGGAAAAGGGGGAAGATCGCGGGGGGAAAAAAGGCCTTAGGGGGGAAAGGAGGGAAAGGATCTCAACAGGGAGAAGGGGGAAAACATCGTAGGGAAGAAAAGGGAACAACTCAGAGGGAGAAAGGGCCTTAGGGGGGAAAGGGGGACTGGATCTCAACAGGGAAAGGTTGCAAAGGATCTTAGGGAGGAAAAGGGAGAAGATCTCAGGGCCTTAGGGGGGAAAGGGGGGAAAGGATCTGAGCAGGGAAAGGGGCGGAAAGATCTTAAGGAGGAAAGGGAGAAGATCTGGGGGCAAAGGCCTTAGGGGGGAAAGGGGAGAAATGATCTCAACAGGGAAAGGGGTGGAAAAGATCTTAGGGAGGAAAGGGAGAAGATCTGGGGGAAAAAAGGCCAACAGGGAAAGGGGGGAAAGATCTCAGGAAGGAAAAGGGAGAAGCTCTCAGGGGGGGAAAGGCCTGAGGGGGGAAAGGGTGGGAAGGATCTCAACAGGGAAAGGGGGGAAACAATCTTAGGAAGGAAAAGGGAGAAGATCTGGAAAGGCCTTAAAGGGAAGGGGGGAAAGGATCTCAACAGGGAAAGGGGGCAAAGGATCTTAAGGAGGAACAGGGAGAAGATCTCAGCGGGGGGAAAGGCCGTAGGGGGGAAAGGGGGGAAAGGATCTCAACAGGGAGAGGGGGGGAAAGATCTCAGGGAGGAAAGGGAAAAGATCCCAGGGAGGAAAAGGCCGTAGGGGGGAAAGTGGGGGAAAGGGAGGAAAAGGGAGAAGATCTCAGGGGGGAAAAGGCCTTAGGGGGGAAAGGGGGGAAAGGATCTCAACAGGGAGAGGGGGGAAAACATCTTAGGGAGGAAAAGGGAAAAATCAGAGGAAGACAAGGCCTTAGGGCGGAAAGGGGGAATGGATCTCAACAACCAAAGGGGGGCAAAAATCTCAGAGGGGAAGGGGGCAAGGGGACAATTCCAAAGGGACGCAAATAAGAAAGCAGGCCTGTAATGTCGGCGGCCTGAGCCGGAGGCGTTAAAATAATTGTGGCTATTACTGTCTGTGTCCTTAACATTGTACTGCAAACACACGACACACACACACACACACACCGTTCAATGCAGCAAAGCAGCGCAATCAGACCGTAAAACACGGGCTGCAAGGCGCCGCTGCTCACATGGATCATGCCGTCCACGGCCAACTGGCAATTCGAATCGGTGTCAGTTGGGCAATGGTCAATATGAGGGACCCCCAAAGACTGGTGGTTTTCCTTTTGGCTTCCTTCCAAAGCAACCCCAAGGGTACCCTCCAAAAAGGACTCTTTTGGGACCCAAAGCTCCAAGTCAGAAGCAAACGGTAACTTCGGACCCGGTTTGGGGTCTAAGCTGGTGTGGTTCAGTTCGGATTCAGGTTCAAAATGTCACAAAACTCCCACCACGGCAAAGAATCGAGGTTGGAACTGGACTGTCCTACAAATCGTCACTTGAGTCACAATCAAAACCTGGTACAAAAATGATGAACCCAGCACCATGTAGAGAAATAGAAAGGCGGCCGCTTTCCTGCTGGGACTGCCCCTTACTAACCTTCATCTACCCGGGTTGTGATTGCGGCTCACTTGCCGGCGCGTTGATGGCCCGAAGAAAGCTGCCTCAAAGTTCTCGCTGTTGAGAAACCAGAACCTCAGCCGCAGAATCAGGCAGGAGCCATCGCGTCAACTCTTCTCTTTCTCCGTGTCAAGAGGCAGCACCGGCAGCACCATCATTGCCAGGCACAAGACCTGGCAGAAAGATACCACCTGCATTCTCGCCGCCCGCAAAGAGGCAAACAGATGCTGGGGCATTGGCAGAGGTGACAAATCCGAAGAAGAAGTGGTAGTTCCGCTGTCCAACACCTACATCATCAAGTGGTTGGAGCAAAAGCACAACCACGCCCAACCCGGCAAGGACCACATTCCGACCAAGGCACAATTGTTGACGAACGGGCAGTGATGATCATACCTCACACGCGCCATGGCCAAAACTCCTTATGTGCGGAAGGGGAGATAGTTCTTAGGAATCATCTTAAAAAAATGAAAAAAAAAGGAAAAAAAAAAAAAAAAAAAACATCTTTAAAACAAAAAAAGAACAAGACAACTCCGCAACGAAAGGATTGCGGCTAACCGACCCCAAAAACCACAGCAACGGCGCTGAAGGTGCCGAGTTTCTTGTTCGGCTCTGAGCCCCGGGCCGCATGACGCAGTTGTCGCAGTCCGGGCAATGCGACGCACGAGGAGGCCTGGCAAAGAAAAAAAAATCACGTCGACTGAAAACCTCCCAAGAGTGGTTTGGAGGTTTCATCTGGCTGTGGGTCAAAACCCATTTTGGGGTAGGTGCACCACCCATGTTTGAACCTATTTTAGCGGGGATTGGAATGCTCACTGGGCGTACAGGATTTTGACCCATGGCCATCTGGCTTCGTGAGTGAATTGCATGTTTCTGTCCGCTCAACATAAACTAAAACAGGGTCACCAGCATTGACACATTCCTGGACGGGTTGGATGCTGTTTTGGCAATTGTATCTTGAGAGTAAACCCGCGACTCGGTGACTGCCATCATTAACACACTATTCGCAACCAGCGATGGGTTCTACCGGCATAGTTGTGAAGGTTATCCCAAGCCCTCCCCATCAATATCCATCTGAGAAGAAACTCCGTCGGGCAGTAATCCATTTTACTAGAGATGGGCCTCCGACCATGAAACCTGAAGTGCATGCAAGCTCCTCTGGGAAATCCTCAAACAAGAATATCATTGTCCAAAGTCAATCAGCTGCCGCATGGTCTTCCGTCAATTGCAAGCCCTGAGTTCGACATCCACTGGTGCCTGATTATTCTGCAGGTCCGACACCATCTGTAGCCACGGCCTGGGTCTGGGAGCGCAAGCTATGCTGGGCGCCGGTGGGCGCAGCAGAAACTCATACTTGGAGCCTTGGAGCTGACAAGAACGCCTACACTATTTTTTGAAGATCTTTCACTCCTGGTCTCTGAACGTGGCTCACTTGCCAAGAACCCCCCCAACCCCGAGGCTTCGTGTGCCTACCTTGACTACTGAGAGGATACTTGTGACTGGTCTCAAATGCCAAAACCATTTAGCCGAAGCAAAAAGTCTCATGCCAACAGACTCCAGCGACAGTCACGACGAAACCTCAGTGGGCTCCCGCGCTTGTCAGCTCAACTGGCAAGTTGCGTCCGCCACCCCTGGCAATGGCCCACAGGCGTCACAGGCTGGGCAAATGAGTTGACAAAGCTGCCACTACCGCACATCGCACAGCTTGCCTGCCATCCAGAGGGACCGTGTCGGAGCAGAGCAGATCCTAAGCTGCACTCATTAGACGAAGCTGCATGCTCAAAACGCAAGCGTAGGAACCCCTTATCGGCCACATTCGGCCACCCTGTTCTTCTGGGCGTTTCAGGCCTGTTAGAAGCACCCGCGTGTGTATTGGCTTCAGACGGTCCCAACACCCAACCTGATGCAGGCCGGCGTTTGCCATCCTTGATGTGCGCCGTTGTCACGTGGTAGAGATGTGTTTCTTAGAGAAAAGTCCTCGTTGAAAAACAAACAAACACAACGCGGCTCAAAGCGAGGCCCGGACATAGCCCAACCGCTCCTCCAGCTTCTTGGCGCTCTTGGTGGCAAGCACCACCTGCAAGGTTCACGTTTTTCCTTGCCGTTTTGGCCGCAGAAAAAGGATGAGAAGGATAGGCAGCCAGAGGAAAGGCATACCTCCGCACCCGCACAAAGCCGACCGCGATCGCCCGGGCGGGACAAGCGGATGCCTCGCGGCGCGGGATGATGCCCGGATCCGAGCAGCAGGTGGCCAGGAGGAACCCCGTGGCCATCAGAAAGACCTGCGAAGCGCCAGCCTTGCTCTCTCCCCAAACGCCATATGACCCTTCCAGAGAGGGCTCAAGAAGGAAACTCAGAGGTGCATCGCCCCAAAAGAAGGAACAACACTGCCCAAGTTCCTCCCCCAAGTTTCCCCCCCCGCACCGCCAGGGTGGCCAGCGGCAGGGCGTAGCATCCTTCCCTCCAGAGGTGCGGGAACACCTGCACCGTGAGGACCCGAGTGCCAAAACTATCGGGGCTTTGGAAACTGTCGAGGGGAACTAGGGGGTTCGAGTTTGGGCTCGGGTTCAGGACACCCAATGGGCAAAAAAGAATCGAAAGGGATTCTTGAAATGACAAAAACAACCCCAAGCCGAACGAACCGAGGTCGAGGCCCAAATGAAGTACAAGGAGCAGGGCGCCAAAATGCAAGTCCAGACCTAGCACGGGTCCAAGTCTCGCCATCGTTGAGAAGGAAGCCCAGAGTCAAGAAGTTGTGTTGACAGTTGATGTGGGGCTAGAACACTCGAGTGAAGGACAGACATGCTCAAGATCCCGGCGCAAAGATTCGGAACTGAGCAATTCGGAGTGATTCCCATCTCCGTTTCGCCACCTGCCGACAGGGCATTGCAGCCTTTCCCTACACTTTCCGCATCACGTGCAGCCACTCACCACAACGACGGCCAACAAAGAAGACTCTAGCAAAACAAACCAAAGCTACACACTACCAAATCAACTTTTGGCCGCGCCTGTCATCATTGTGCCTCGACAAAAGAACTTGTTTCGGGAGGGCCAGACCTGAGCAAGGCAGTGGAAACATGATACGGCAACGCGCAACGCAGCAACAAGCCTGTCAGCAGCCAACCAGCTGAGCAACGGGCAATCCTGTTTGTTCCCAAGGGTATGAAAAATAACCGTTGGGGATTGGGTGGGGCCCCCACGTCCTCTCGAAATGAACAATCGACTAGCAAAATGCTTGCCAGTTGCTCAGCTGAAACGTTGCACGCGACTGAGATGACCGGCGTTGTAAAGCCGCTTCTTTGGTCGCTCCACCTTCGTGCCCGGTGAAGCCAGCTTTTGACCAAGTCCTCTCAACAGGGAAAGAAACAGAAACCGGGACCCTTATTAACCCCAGTCCGGTAGGCGAGCGCAAGCCCTGTTTCTATGATGGGCATTGAATCTTGAGCCAAATGGGCATTGCCATTCAGCATGTGGTGCATTGCCATTCAGCATGTTCGTGCTATCAACGGGGCCTCCAACATCACATGCATGCACACCCTTCTGGGGTACCTCTTTGGGGGTCAAGGGGTCGTGATTATTCAACTCCCCCCTCCCCGTGCTCACTAAGAGACTTGTATTTTACAGTCGCGCTTGAGCTGCGACCTATGTGATGCAAGGTCCTTTACCAGACCATAAGGAGGGCTTACCTATGATTTTGCACCTTTGTTACTGTTTGGACATCTCAGGCCGGACATCTTTCAGCTTTTCAGGCAAATTGGTTCTGATGCCTAAAAGCTTTAATTTTAAGGGCTGCAGAGCCTTCGTAAAGATATCGGCTGCCTGGAGATCGGTAGCTACATACTTGATTACTACACCCGTGCCGGGTTCAAGTTGCTCAGCAAGTGCGGACAGGTCACCCTGTGAGTGCGCTGTATGCGCCGCATCTTTGGGGAGTAACCTTTCTTGGCAACGAGGATAGTGGCTTGGTTATCTTCGTGCAGCACCAACTCAACCGGGCGCCCAAGCAAACGCTCCCACAAGGTCAAAGAGGGAAGGCCTTCTTGATACAAGGAGAAAGTGAGCGACACGACCTCGGCTTCGGTGGTGGATCTCGACACTGATGTCTGTCGTTTGCTCAACCACGCTAAAGGAAAATGGGTGTTCAGTCCTTTGAGGACCAGGAAGCCACCGGACGTGGACTTCGCATCCCTTTCTCCAGCATAGTCGGCAGGCATCCGCATACAGAGCGAGGTGAAGATCTTGCGGGTTGTCCTTTATGACTCCTACCAACCGGTAGTGCGTAGTCGAGTGGATGTACGCGATGAGACGGGCGAGTTGCCTATCATGGTTGCGAGACCACTTCTGCACGGCGGTTGCTAGGTCACCTATGGGCTTGATGATGTCAGGACGCGCTAGTCGTCCCAGCCATAAGGCCTTCATGAGGAGTTTGCACGCGTTTGGGGCTAGCTCACCAGCTGACTGATCATCTTCTGGAGGAAGTGATCCGTCTGGACAGAACGGAGTAGTTACCTTCCGGAGCTTCTCGCTCGGGCTGAGTGCCGGTTATAGAACAAAACAGTTCTACGGTTTGACGGGCATAGTTCTCGATGTGCTGAGAATCTGCCTGCCCAACCATCCCTGATATCTTCCTTGCTACCATCTTGCTGGGACACAACGCGAGTGGTCCTACCGGGTGCGATCCTGCACACTGACACGGGACAATCACCGACATCCTTGGGAGTGAAAAGTTTAATCCTAGGCTGATGATGCACGCGGATTAACACGTTACCACTAGGCTTATAAACCCATTCATCCTTCTCGGTTGATGTAGGGACAGCGTCGGTATGCGGAACACTGGGCCGAGAAGAGGCGGGCTCTCCAAGCAAGGCACGGACGATCTCGGGGTCTCCCTCCTCAGGAGCCTCGATCTCTGGACCTTCTGGGGGTTCTAGGGAGGCGGCCTTTGCAGCGCGTATAGCAGCTGCCTCATCTGCACCCTTACTTGGTTTGGTGGCCTCCTCACTTGCGGCCTTTTTGGCCTTCGCTTCTTCCTTCTCACTTTCAACTAGCTCTGCAAACCTTTTGCGGCATTCGTCAGTGCGATGCCTAGAACTAGCATGGCCGGTGCAGGCCTTGCATCCAGGGGTCTCCTTGAACTTGATAATCCGTTCAATGGTGATGTACACACTTCGTGACTTAAAGCCTGACGGAGTTGACGGGGCAGGGATGCCTTCAGGAATGAAAGGAACATCCCTGATTGCATACTTGGGAACCTCGCCATCGCCTGTTCGCAGGGCTCGATCGGCAGCGGCCGCGATCGGGAAAACAGGATCGCCTTCCTCGACGAACAACTCAGGTTCGGGCACGTCATGGACAGTAACATTACCGTTGGTTCTGAAACTTTGGTAATCCATAATTTTTAGCACCCTTCGATATCGCATCCCTGGATCGATACGCCAACCCATGAACAAGCCTGGGGCCATGTTAGGTTCTAAGGTTCTCTTTCAAGCCGACTTTAGGCGATACCAAACAAGTTGTCCGAAACAACAGCGGACGCCATCGAACTTCTCCATGGTGAGTGCTTCCCATTGCGTCTTTGTCGGATCGAATGTGGACGGTCGGTCGAAGGACATCGAGAGGCATGCGAAGGGATAGGAGTGCGTGCGCAGAGAGTAGGGCAAACCCGATTGATGGTGTATGCTCCTGCAACACTCCTTCTCCTCTCGGACATCTCGCTCGAGCTCGGAGTTGTGTGGCCAGCGATTCGGCAACGAGGCTTCGGGGATCATCCCTACTTCCTCGGCCGCTCCCTGCAACTCCCCAGCTTCATCCATTTTTATGAGACAGTGCGGAGCGAGTTCGTTGGCTCTGAGGCCAACGAAATGCCTGAGATTCCTTGCGTGCGACGGAATGTCTCTCTTAGAGACCGGGTATGCGACCCTTGCGCCGGAAAAAAAAACCCTGATGACATGGTGGGATTTTATTCCGCCTATGCCGACGCCAACGTGTTCATCGCCTTTCGCCAAGATCACGCTATCAGTAGCAAGCTGCTGGTATGGAGCGGTGGGTGCGTCGAGAAGATCGTCACTCCGCCCCCCTGGCTTCCGGGCAACACGCATCGAGGTGTTCTTAGTCTTGCAGAAGGGATTCTTGGGGAAGTGAGTCCGTTGGTGTTCCGGTGAACTGGCTTCGGCCCGAAGCCGTTCATCACGAAGCTCACCACCTTCTGCAAAATCGACAAGCCTGCGCTCGTCATCAGGATGTTCGGGCACCGCTGGTGCGGGCACAGGAGGTGCTCCAACAGGTGGTGGCACTGGCGGCGTATCCGGGGGCTCGGCCGGAGGCCTTTCCTCCGGAGCTGGCATGGCTGGCTTTTCGTTGCGCCTTGAGCTAGCAACCTTAATCTCTTGGACCACATCATCAATGAGCGCATTGAGCTGCTCCTTTTCTTCTTCTGGCACTTGGGGAGGTGATGGAAAATCCTGGCATGGATCAATGATGAAGGAATCATCATCGGACAAGGAAACTGCATCATCCTCGACTTGCACAGGAGAACCAACAACATTGATCGGTCGAAGATTCGCGGCTTGATCAACGATCTGCGGCTTGACTACCTCATCGTACTGTGGTACGTACTCAACAACCCTGGAGGCGTTGATCCTAGAACGGCGAGGAAAAAACCCGAAGCTTGCACTTACCAATCTCAGAAAAACCACAAGATAAGGAACATTCTCTCTGGGGTCCCAGATGAAGAGGTAACCTCGATCGATGACGGTTTTGCCAATTGATTGAGCGGGCGGACATTCGTTCAAAACGTAAACCTGCTCATCAGGTGGGATCACGCGGGAGTCCTCAAACGCAAGAGATTTATCTCCTTGTTGCGCTCCCCCGCCTGTGGCAAAGCCTACCGGTGTGTTGGTCTTGCGTACGCAATGCATCATGGTGCTGTTCAAAGCCTGCTTACCGATGAGTTGGCGACCTGCAGCGGTGTCCCAAAGCCAGCTAATGCTATTGTTCCTGGCGGGGACACTTGGGACTGCTGGGCCTACGGCGGCAACGGCGGCCGGAGATTTCTGAGGGCCCGTGGAGGCGGCCCAGTGTACTTCTCAGTCGGTGAGTGGAGGAAGGCGCAGGACTTGGCCCTGCACGCATCATAGGCATAGAACATACACGGAACTTTTGCCTTTTCAACGGCTGACATCTTTGCTGTCTTGGACACGGCCTTCGACCTCGGGGTGAGATTAGAAGGGGTAGTGTCTCCCTTGTTTGCACTTTGGGACTTCGGAGGAGGAGGAGGCTTAGGGTTCAAAGGACTTTTCCCTTTAGGCGCAGGAGCAGCTGGGGCGCCGCCTTTATCCTGCCCTTGATCCCCTTTCTTCTGGCCTTTCTTGTTCTTCTTCTTCTCCTTCTTAGTCTCTGCTGGCAAAGCGCTGGTAGCTGCTTCCTTGCCCGTGCCACGAACAGCCGGTTTGAGCTTGACATCCTGATCAAACTCATCACGGGGCAAGCTCAATGGCCAGGTCAGCCTTTGCCCAAAGCCATGCACAGGTGCGGCGGTGACTATCATGGGCGGTCTCACGGGCCTTCTCAACGTGATGCTTCATTACTTGGCACTTCTCAAACTCGTCAATGAGATGATTGAAAAGAGGTATTGCACGGAGAATATAGTTGTACTTCTCACGGAAAGCCTCTATGTCTGCTACTGACTGGCCGGCAAGTTTCAAACCTAGAAGATTGCGTTCTCCAAGGATGCCGATCCGATCACGCTCCAGTTGAAAGTGCTTGAAGATCGAACGCAACATCACGCGCCCATTGGGCATTGTACCTGCGATGTTCCGTTCGTGCTCCACCATGTTTTGGAACAACAACCCAAACTTGCCTTTGCGACAGGTCTTCAACAGCTTGGCGGCTATCTCGCGGGTTGTGCGTGGGAAACGTTTATCTGCCCTGAGTTGTTCCTCGGATGAGGTCAGGCAATCCTGAGCCCAGAGATAGAGCTCGTCACCGGTCGTCTTTTGCAAACGTCCAATGGCCATGAGGACTTGATTCACGTATCCACGCGCCTGTCCGGCGTTCTCTGGCGGAAGAGGGAGCGCTAAATCCTTACGGTCCTTTACGCGAACCACGGTTTCCTCATGTGAGGCCGGATCTGATGCGCCTGTAGCAGCATCCCCACCACTTGCGTCTGCTGCTTCCACCACAGACTCGGCATGAGGGAGTGTGACCCTCGTCACTGGATTCTGAGGATGTGTCGGAGCTTGCCTCCGAAGGTGCGAGTGGGGAGGATGTGAATTGAGCCACTTGACTTGTACTTGCACTTTTTAGCCTAAGCGTGGGGATAGCAGTTGTGTGCTGGGCAGCTACGGAAGGTGGGTGTGCCTGAGCCGATGCGATCGGGGGCGAAGCCCCTGATACCCCTACCTGGGCTTCAACTAACTTTGAAAGTTGATAGACCATCTCAGTTAAAGAGGACATTTGCGCCTGTACGTCTACAGGTCCCCTTACATCCTGAGTCCGAGCGACGTCCGGCGGTCCTTGTGGTTGTGCACGTGGATCACCATCCTGGATTTGCACACGCTTGGCATCTGACTTGATGTCGGGCTGTGGGGGAGCGAAGGATTTTGGGAAACCAACAGGGGCACGTGGCGCTACCTTAGGGTCGCTACTTAAACTTCCCGATGCGCCTAGAGCTGCATCCTTCGGGGGATACTGCTCACGTGTGGCATCACTCGGCCCTTGAACTTGGGGAGCCTGTGATCCAACCTGAAGGTCACGTCCAACGTTATTTAGCCCCGATGACTCGGGATCCGTAGGATTTTGACTTTCGTGACTTTCATCCGGAGGTACCGGAACATTTTGCGCCATGGATGCGACAGCCCTTTCTAGGTCAGCAAGGCGTTGCGACAACAAAAGGTTTTCACTCCCTAATGTGTCTATCACTTTGCTTTGCTGGAGAATCTTCTGTTCGTGTGAGGAAATTTCTTGAATAGCCTCCTGCCTCAACCTGGACACTTCGGCTTCAGCGGCCGACCTTGTTTGTTGTGCTTCATGCCTAGCACGCTCAACATGGCTTACGGCTTCCTGTCTTAACAGATGGACATGGCCTTCGGCTTCCTGCCTCACCTGTTGAACATGGCCTTGAGCTTCCTGTTGAGAATGCTGTGCAGCTTGTTCAGCTAATGCTGTCTGAGCACGGGCTCGTTCGACTGCTTGCTGGGCTTGGTATGTCAGTTCAGTCGCCTGTTGTCTAAAGGTCTGCTCCCTTTGTTGCGCAACAGCGGCAACCTCCCCTAGCCTTTGTCTGGCCTGGTCCGCGGCTCGATGCTCGTGAAGGGCAACATTGGCAGCCTGATCAGCAATGAGCGAAGCTTGATGCGCACGTTGCAACGCCGATCCGGCCACAAACGCGCAGCACTCATGTCCCTAGAAGGGTCGGGAGTGGGCATCTGTGGGCTATACACAAGGGGAGTTGCTGTAGAGTCTGAATCAGGTTCCTCTACAATGGGAGTCCTACGGGGAGGAGTCGCGTTGCGATGATGAGGATGCCCTGGAACCTACAGGAACGAGTACCGAAATATCACCTAGTTCAGGGTCGTCCTCATTAGATTCTCCCCCTGACCTATCATCCGAAGGTGGGGAAATCCCTGACGCCATGTCGGATGCACCTTTCACACGAGGTCAGGCTCACGTATGCTGACACACCGCGCTTTAAGCTGCGGCCTTGGAAAACTTATGATACAACCGGTGTTGGAAACCGGTGCACTTGCTGCGCTTGAGCTGCAGCCTCCGGCGGTGCCAGGTCAACGAAAAAGTCCTCGGCCGCCCCTTGCCGATTGCGGGCGGCGGCCAACCTCTTCGAGGCACTCGTTCTGATCGAGTATCCTGGCAGGGCGGAGAAGGCGTCGGTGCCGGGTGACACCTACGCCGAGGGCGCCTGCGGTGCGGCACTCCTTGAGGACGGAGTTGTTGTCGTCCACGATGGCGCACGCCCCGAACTGCGCCAAAGCTGCAGCCTTGCCAGATGGTCCGACCCGTTTCCAGGTCAGAACCACGTCTCCGAACGGGGGTGTGCCCAAGCCGTCAATGGCATCGTTGCACACCTCGGAAAACTGGTGGCAAGTCGGAGGGTGCTCTCCCGGGTGTCCCGGGCCTGGCAGTAGCTGACGATGCGGAACTGGATGGGATAGTGGCTGCGATACAGTTTGGACACTGTTCGCAAAAGCCAATCCTTGGGCGCACCGTCAAGCTCGACGGAAATGTCGAGGCTGTTGCGCCAGTCGAGGGCGATGACCAGCGGGTCTCTGGCCTCTTGCTGAGGCGCACCGAATTGCGTCCCGTCAGGGACGGGACCCTTGGCAGCTGCAGTGGGCGGCTGCTTGACCGGCAACTTGGGGGTGGCGACTTGTACCTCACCTGCGGTGGCGCCCGCTTGTATGCTTTGGGCGGTGTCTCAGGCCGTCTTACCCCACTGATCGACTTTGGAACCGATGCTGCGCGTTGAGCTGCAGCCCTTGGCACTGGGCTGGTGGTGCTCTCAGCGGTGGTGGGGGGATGGCCTTCGACGCAGCGCGATCCGCAGCTGCCTGGTCGAGTACGCTTTGCGGGGGCGCCTTGACCTGGCTTTCCCGCTTGGCAAAAACAATCCGAGCGGTCTTTGTTGCGGGTGCTGTGGAATAGTCGCGCCCGGCAGGCGCAGGCCGCTTGATGCTGACCTGCTCAGCCTCGTACACCCTGTCCGGGTTGAAGGCCGCACGACCTGAGTACACGGCTTGCGCCGACCTTTCTGGAGGTGGCGACTCGCTCAGGTTGTAGTGCTCGGCCCTCCCGTGACGGGGAGGATTGGAAGACAACTCTGCCCTCGGCGGATGATGCCAATACAAGTCTGGGAGGTCGTACGACTCGTCTGAGCGTACCGGGTGCGGCGCCCGGGGCACCCTCGTATCGGTGCTGGAGGATCCAGATCCCTGCGCTGTCCACCCGGGTTGTCAGGTAGGCGCAGTTGGCCGGCGCCAAGATCAGCGGCCGGCCGCTCAGGGATGCACGGGCCGGAGGTGTTGAAGAGCTGGAGCTCCTGGTCCTCGACCCTGCTGCGCTTGGAGCTGCAGCCTGAGGGGAGTTCTGGATCTTGGGCGTCTGGTCGACGCCTTCCGCGCCGGTGCAAGGGAAGGTTGTCGCCTTGCCGGCGGTGTCCTCTTCCTCCTCGATGAGGACCTCCCCGCAGCAGTTGCAGGCGGATAGGACGAAGGTCGGGACGGGCTCTCAGTTGTGGTTCTTGGTGGAACCGCTGCGCTTGGTTGAAGCTGCAGCCTTGATGGTGGACACAGTTGTGGTGGAGGATGGGCTTGATGGGGCGCTTGCCTGTTGCTGTGGCTGAGCTGGTGTTGAAGCCTGCCCTGCCGCGCCTTCTCCTGCGAATTGGGATTGGTTGGTGGCGGCCTCGGGCGATGACGGCGTCGCAGAGGTCGGGGTAGATGTCCCGCAAGTGCCGATAGCTCTCTTCAGTGAAATCGGCCTGCCAGGAGGGAGCTCCGATGCAAGTCCGAAGCTTCCTCCCAGGGGACTCTTGCTACACCAACCTGGAACTCGCGCCGAGCCCAACGGGTGAGCTCGTCGAAAGCTTCGTAGTAAAGCTTCCGACGATGGACTCTTCGTCCTCTGGCCGAAAAGGCCGGAGCCGGGTCCATGCACGAAGTGCGCTGACTACCGGACTGAGGGGGCCTAATCCCAAAAAGCAGTTACGGCTGATAACCACTCAACAGGGAAAGAAACACAGCGAACCAGAAACCGGGACCCTTATTAACCCCAGTCCGATAGGCGAGCGCAAACCCTGTGTCTATGATGGGCATTGAATCTTGAGCCAAATGCGCATTGCCATTCAGCATGTTCGTGCTATCAACGGGGCCTCCAACATCACATGCATGCACACCCTTCTGGGGTACCTCTTTGGGGGTCAAGGGGTCGTGATTATTCAACTAGTCCATGCTTTAAAAGCCTTTCGGTAAATTTTCCTCGCCGAGTTTGACAGGAAGCCCCAAGGAGTCTCAATAGCAAAG